TGTGCATTCGTCTCACTCTCTCGAAACTTAGTTGTTTGAAGGTTTCACTTTTAACACGTGTGATCTGCACACATGTTTTTTTTTTCAAATTACACCTATTCTAAAGAAGTTTTTACTTCAAAAAGGGATAGTTGTTTCAACGCATTTTAATCACTTACTTCTGATTTTCTTCCCGTTTATACTGAAGTATTCCCTTGATCTCCCCTCTCTTTTTTTTTTCAATGTTTATATTTCATAACAACGGCAAAACAGACATTAGGATAATAGAAGATATTTCGGTTATTCATTGAAAGAAACTGCAGTAGCTTGCTGGAAAGCTCTTTCTTTGTCGCTTGTATTAAAAATAGAGTCATCAACTAAAATAGAGTCCTTTGCTAATCGGGATAAGCTGATAATGAGGAAGATAAAGGATTAAATTAAAATCAGAAACAAAACACCTAATTGAGCCAATAAAATTATACATTTCGCTTACTTTACTTTTTGTCAGATTTGTGATAATATAAAGAGTGATTGTTCTTGATTTTCCTTGTCACTTCTTTATTGGTTCTTGTTCGTCTAATATGTGTTATCGTAGATGTCCAGTGGAAGAATAGAATATGTGTCTTTACTAATGGGCTCAGCAGGGAACACGTAGTGGGTGGGAGTAGGAATGGTGGGGGGAGTGAATATTAGCGCTTTGAAACTCCCTACAAGACTAAGGTGTGAACTTCTACAGGACTATGGCGCGCATTTCAAATATGCGTTAAGAGTTTACGATCGTTTCCGATCGTATATCGGCTTTAAGACGTTCTTGTAAAATTTGTAATATATCTATAATATTAAAGTTTATTTCAAGGACTCTGCTCGTTTCGAGTAGCTATTCTACTTTTAACTCGAAGAAATGGAAATAGCGTGGCTGCCACTTTATGACAAGTAATTAAGGTACCAACGAAAGTAAGAGAGAGAAAGGGAAATGGAAAATGATAATGGAGAAGGTACAGAAGACACGAAGAAAGACAAATACATTGGTGTTCACGAGACTTTAGACAAACGTCCTAAATATTCGTCTAGATTGTTAACGTTCTCTTATTTCATCCAAGCTTTCTTCTTCAGCTATATTACTAGAAGACGTACTATTAAACATTATTAGACTCATATCGTTGAAGTTTACCGTATAGACTATTACAACCTTTCTAATTATGATAAATGAATTCATACTCGTTGTGACATATTTTATTTAAATATTAAAGATAAATTATTTGAAAATAATAAGAATAACGTATTTAAAAGTGAGATTCAGGCTAAATTTTTCTTTCCTCTTTACAAATTAGTCTTATATTCTACGTCTCAAGATTCTTAGAAAGAAAGGGAGAAAAAAAGGAAGAAAGAAAAAAAAAGAAAATAAAATTGTAAATCAGTGGAGTCGCATTAATTCACTTTTGTAGTAACGTATGTTGGAAAGGAAGTTCGGACGATTGAAGTTAGTAGGAAAAATCCCTATATATATTTCGCGCTGTCACGAACGTGCTAGTAGAATGGCAGCGGGCGTTATCAATTGCCATAAAAGTTTTTACATTATGTTAACCTGCGCCTGAAATGGGCTTCTATGACCAAGAAGTAGATGAGGAAAATGACAGAAAGTTTAGGCTGCCCATCTTCTTCCTCTCCTTCTATTTCTTTCTTTTCTCTCTCTCTCTCTCTCTCTCTCTCTTGTCTAAAGAAAACGTGATCCTCTCATGAGAGAAAAAACAAAAGTAAGTAAATAAAAGTAATTCTTATTTTATTTCTTTTTTATTTTTGTTCACGAGTTTCTTTTTTTTCATTTAAATGTACCCATAATTATGAAAGTGGTCTAACAATAAGTCATATATCTCTTGTTTCGAGATATTTAAAGAATTACATTTCAATACTATATGAATTCTATATAATATTGAAATAACAAATATTATCTAACGATTCATTTTCGACAATATCGTGAAAATTACATTGAATTTACTTATTTTAAAATAATGTGGTGTGAAATAATTGATAAATTCATTTTGTTTTATATTTCAACTTACAATTAGATCACTTTCATACTTATAGACACAAATACTTCCTCGAAATAAATTTTGATTCTTATTTCGATCTGAAGAAACTAACAACGTTATTGAAGTCAGATGCATTAAAATTTGAGTCTAATCTAAAAATGCATGGATTATTTTTTGGTTGGTATATTAAACAACAACGTTTCTTAAACGGCAAATCTCCGCATGAGAAACTTCCTTTTACGATATTTATATACGGATCTTGGAAGCAACTCTCCGCTCCGTATAATCCACCGGCGAGTTCATGAAGCCTCATTATTCACTTGCCAGCCTTTTAAAGAGTGTATCTTGAATGACCTCATAGTTCATACTTATATCTTACCCCAATCCCGAGAAAATAGTTTCATAGGCCAAGAGAATGGTGTGAGTAGTAAATTTAAAAAAAAAATTCTTTTTTTTAGATTATTTCATTAATTTCTTTTAATGTTCATATTTTTTAACGATTTTTTTCGTATTTTATATTTTATTTATTTATTACATTAGTTCCCAAACGATTTATCTTCATGCTATAAAAGTTCTCTACAGGTCAATTATTTTATTCAGTCATTTCATTTTATTAAATAAAAAAAAAAGAGAGAAATTGCTATTTTTTTTATGAACGTGTATGCGCCAGATGTAAAGTTTGGTTTGGTAGAGAGAGATGAAGGGTTGCAGAGGTGGATCGACACCTCTGGGAGAGAAAGTGCGGTATCGAGATATGGCTGGTTGAACCAAACTCGCACTTTATGCACGTATGAGTATGTACGCGTGCTTCGAATGCTTCCAACGATCGCGTTGCTCCGGAAATTTAATACCGAAACACTTAACGGGGCAGAGCTCCGTTGACCTTTCACTTTGAATAGTTTGATTCCTCGATAATTGACCGATAGAGTTCGCATCTGTTCTGAGCATCCTGCATAAAAAAGAGCAAAACTTAATCGTCTTTTCAAGAATTCTATTATCGTCATTTTATATTTAATAATTTTATTTCTCTTTTCTATTTTTCATATTTTTACTTTCATTAAAAACGTTTATTTTTCTATTCTTTTTTCTTTTTAATCGCAAAATGTTGACAATTAGTATCCTTATATTCAAATTTTTCTGTATCGTTTAAAAATAAAATATTTTAATCACACACACACACACA